ATCATTTGCCAGAATCGCTGGCTGCAGCTATGAATTTCATCATGAAAGGGATTACTACTAGACCAAATAATTCAAAACGATCCATAAATATGTCACATAATTCACAGATTCATGCTGATTCACTTAGATTAAGGGTCATGATCGTTTGATTTTTATAAGAAAGGGATGACGGTATGTAACATGACGTAGGTTATGACATTCAGCTAACCTTGAAAACATCCTAGATTCCTGATTTTTACCCCTAGACATCAGAACTGGTTAATTCCTGTGATTAAAAACATAAACCATTATGACATCATGTACAGTCTAGGTAAAGGGGATTGTTATCATTTGCACTAGATTTTTTTTTTTTAAATCAACAACAAAAACAAAAAAAAATCATTTTTCAAGAAATTAACACTTTATCTGAGACTTATGTGATATTCATATTGAAAATTTTAGGAGAAAATGAACAATTTGAAGTTTTGAACACTGTTTAGTGCATTTTGAATATCATTCAAGAAAATGCTCTCAGGGTTGATTTTATCAGTATTCTGATAAGTTCAGGCTTTGAATCTGACTCCTGAAGAACCATCACAACTGTCCAAATCTAGTCAGGATTCTAAGTTGGTGATATTTTCTTTGAGTCTCGACTCCACCCGGCAACAACGCCCCCAAAGCGGAAGGCCCAGTGCCGCACGAGGAGAAATTGAATCTGGGGGTGGATGTGTAGATGCCCTTCACGCTTGGCAGTTGTTAAACTCCGTAGTCCCGGTACGTGGGAACACGTCTCAAAGGGGCTGATGATGAACCATCTTCAGAAGAGAAACGTTGGATGACTCAGAGAGTCAGAGGAAAGGTGAACTCTTGTAAAATGTTGGGATATGTCACCCGGTACCTGGGTGAGATTAGTGTACATGGGGCTCATGAATGTCAGTTCTGTTCGGATTTAAACCCTGACTTTTCAAGCTCTGGAGATATTATTCACTCATATCTTGGATTATTAATTAAACAAGCAAGATCAGGTAACATGAATGTAATGAAGACTTGAATTAAGAGAGACTGTTTTGCAGGAGAGGGCCAGAGGGGGAAACAAGGTTTCAATGTTTCAGTATCTACTTCAGACCCCTCTTGTATTAAGAAATGCAAAGTCTTGTCATTACCAGAGGAATAATTGTATATTAGATCAAGATTTGGTATCTGTCCTATTTTATCAACCCCCCCCCCCCCCCCAAGATATTGAACATTCATTTAATCAAAGACACATTACCTGTTTTGCATTGATTAGTATAGAAAGCTAACACATTGTACAGCGATATTTTTGACACATTTACAAAAAAACAAGTTGGAAAGGAAATCAGATTTGTAGTGCGAGTGATGAAAATACGTGCTGTATCTCAAACATGAAACATTCCCCTGGCCTGTTGCCTACTGAAATAAAGATAGTGGTTTAGAATGTCACGTGTTCATGAATGATGCTTGGAGCAACATAAATCCTAACCAAGTTAATCAAGTCCAATGTAAGAGCAAATTAGATCACCCACCGTGCTTATTTTTGCACATGTATGATATGCCCTGGGCTCTGTAACATTCATTCGATATGCCTCGTACTAAAACCATGAGCGTTGAGAAGTCTGTAAACATTATTTAGGCGATGCTGCAAGTCATACCTCTCCACGTGAGCTCGTCCTTATTATTCTGGCTAAATGAAAATGTTTTAACAATGAAAGGAAGGGAGAGATTAGATGTTGTTTGAGCAGTTTGACAGCATACTGTCTGGGGATTCTACATCAAAAAAAGGTACTAAATAACATTGAATGTAGAATTTTTTCAGTGTAGCGCTTATTGCATCAAGTTGTGGAGTGGGGGAGAATGTACCCCATCTGCTCTCTAGAGGGATTTATTACCCCTCTTGATAGCTTTGGAGTATTTTGTGGTTTAGGGTGGCATGAGATTGATGATGAAAGGATGGAAGTGAATGAGAGTCACATTTCCTTATATGCACATGAATGCTTCATACTAAACATTCTTGCAGGTTTATGTTTATCCACACATTCCAACAAAGTATATTTTTTTCAAAAGTCAAACTGTAGTTTTCAACAACTTGAAAACCATCCTCAAATATTTCAAGGAATATGAAGCTAAAGAAATTATAGCTTTTCTTCATAAAGTATCCAAATTTTTATTAAAAGAAAAAATGTCTATGATAAGGAAGTTATGTGAAATACTTCACTGTATATTATAATTCTTTATCATTGTTTTTTATAGAAGGTTACATTGTGTATGTGTGTGTGTGGTGAATGAGTATGTGTGTGTGGTTAATGAGTGTGTGGTGAAAGAGTCATTAATTCAAGGTTACTAGATATTTCCTTGTTACCTCAAATTATACAAGCTGATGTAATTATTAAGATTACGTTTGTGAAACTTGCCATAAGTGACTTCTTCCTCTATTAGTATCGCATACAGGAAGAACTTTCATATGCATTCTGTGGCAAAGTCTAAACACACTGCTATTAGATGAAGGTTATCGCTTGTGTTATGGAAATGCTATACTTTGCAACTTTGCATATATTTCATTTCATAACAAATATTGTTGTTTATTTTGAGGGAGAGGTGAAAGGAGACGTTAAGGGGAGGGGTATAACAAAAAAAAAAGAGGATCGAGGGGGGTAGAGAGAGAGAGAGAGAGAGGAAGAGAGAGAGAGAGGGGGAGGGGGAGAGAGAGGAGAGAGAGAGAGAGAGAGAGGAAGAGAGAGAGAGAGGGGGAGGGGGAGAGAGAGGAGAGAGAGAGAGAGAGAGAGGAAGAGAGAGAGAGAGGGGGAGGGGGAGAGAGAGGAGAGAGAGAGAGAGAGAGAGGAAGAGAGAGAGAGAGGGGAGGGGGAGGGAGAGAGAGGAGAGAGAGAGAGAGAGAGGAAGAGAGAGAGAGAGGGGGAGGGGGAGAGAGAGAGAGAGAGAGAGAGAGAGAGAGAGGAAGAGAGAGAGAGAGGGGGAGGGGGAGAGAGAGGAGAGAGAGAGAGAGAGAGAGGAAGAGAGAGAGAGAGGGGGAGGGGGAGAGGGGAGAGAGAGGAGAGAGAGAGAGAGAGAAAGAGAGATTGGAAAGATAGAAAGAGAAAGGAGATGATAAGGAAGGGGTAAAACGTAGCTAGAAAAAGAAATTCTATTTCAAATGATCTGCAGCTGTTGTTATATGTTTGTGTATGCAATGTGCAAATTCACAAAATAAATCACCCTTTCAAAATTCAATGCATAGCAAAACTTCCATTCCCAGTCAGTAAAGAGCTGTACATTATGTACGTTTTTTAGATTGAGCAAATCAGCACCTGTACTTCCAGAGCCAGGGTTAAAGAATAGAAGGCACCAGCTCTCATCCTCACGACCTGACAGGATCAATTTATAAGACCATCTCACTGCTCTCTCTAGTCTTGTGATGGTTCATCTCACAGTCTATCTTGTCATATACTCTCCAGCCAATCTAAATCAATTCACTGCTTACTTTGTGGCCTGTCTTCGTACATTGACATCAGAGTATGACGGTGTACTGGCACACACAAAATGACGTTTTGAGTGGCGTCCCAAACTGACAGATTTCACGAAGCACGCCAATTCTTCTTTTAAGAGCTAGTGTATCAGTCAATGCCACTCTGGCTCCAAACAGACAACAGTGTTTTTTACGATTTTGATGAAAAATAAATATTTTTTAGATTTGATTCCGCACTAACCTTTTAGGTAGGGGGCATGGAGTCTAAGGACGGAAGTTTTTAGAGTCTGTATGCATAAGCCCTATGTTAACATTTCAGATTTTTACTTTTTGTTTAAATGATTTTTTTTTAAAGGGGGGGGGGGGGTCTGGACTTACATGTGTCCTGGGCACTTATTAAAGAAGAGCCTTGCTTTAGATTATATGAATGATAAGTTTTAAATTCATTGACTTTACGACACCTAACCAATATTGCTTTTTAAAGTTGAAATAATATATTTTGAACATTGATAACAAAAAAGTAAATTGATTTCATATTCACATACATGTAGCACAGAGGATTGAAATTATAATCACCAGTATTTAATTACTATTGATTTAATTGATTGATTGATCAGGATAACTACATGTAGCTGTACAATGTAGAATAAGGCAAGCGTTAGTACTAAAGTAAAGGTGCAAGTACATGTACATGTATGACGTACCATATGTACAACAAAATCTACCTGCATTTCTTACTTCTCATAATTGATTAAAATGTGTACATGTACATGTATGCACACACTGACACAGTACAAGTTATCAGATTGAGATTACCAAGCTAATACACTTCGCCATGAGTTGAGTACCTGTATATGTATGTCAATGTAATATTAGCTTCCTATTTTTCACATAATACTACTGCAGTTACACAGTGATTACATAAATGATAACAGTATTGGGTTAAAACAAAATAAAACAATATTATACACATGTAGATATAGTGAAAACTGTTGACATATCGAGTCATGTTGACTACATTCACGTTGTAATAAGTGGCTTTGAAATTCAACAAACACAAATGTAAGGATCTATTCAAACATGTTTCTTCTGCAATCTCTTTTTTTCTTCTTCATTTCAAAGTTGTTTATGAAACATACAAATGATTTGCTGATAATTTAATGTGGTAATCTTTGTTACATATAAATCTCCTGAAAAATGAAGATGAGAAGAACATATAGTTAATGGTTGTTCTTGAGTTGGGTCATTTTTTATTAGATCAAATCTCAGTTGTAATATCTTTCAGCACCTTTCTATTAATCTTATAAATGACCATCCCAGTGATGCAGTCCTGTTCCCATGGTAACCATTGACATCAGGCAGTGATGCCAGTCTCATCCTCCACGAATGCTCATCATTCAGGTGTTTGTAGATTACACAATAGCACTCTCCCTAAGGCATGGTAAAAGGCAGAACCTATAAATAAATACCGCTCAACCCCACACACTCATACACACAGCGTTACTCTCAGCAGCGTATGGATAACACTTACACACAGGCCTAGCGACTCTACTACTCTGTACGAAAATCAATTTCTATGATCCATCCAGCGATAACTCTCCTACTTTCTCACTCCCTCTCTCTCTGCCCACTTCTCACTACTTGACTTGTGTCAGGCCTATCCGTAGCTCATTTGCATACATATGAGTTAAAAGCAAGAGTGAGGCCACAACTGATATTGTTTCTGTCATTAGTGATCGGTACACGGATCATGCGCAGAGCTGTCTGCATTCCCTGCCAGTGAAGGCAAGAGCGGGAGAGGAAGAGAGAGATAGGGGGAGAGAAATATTGTGAAACGCTTCTATCTTTGCACCAACTGTTCAGTTGAGTGTGCATGGATGTATGGCATATGCCTCGATCTATCCCAAACATGTTTGCGTTGGCATGTTCGTGTTGATACGTCAGGATCAATTCTTAAATCGGGTGCCTGTGGGTCTCTCATGTCATGCACATACGTGATCAGAGTGGATTCTTAGAGCTGCTTAGTTTTGCTGGTGTTGTATTCCTTGTGTCATGGCGTCGAGGAGTAGATACGGACTGATCTCTGCCTACAGTCGATGCTAATCTGGCAGAGAAATGGCTTTCTCATTCCTCATGTTCGCCTATGACCCTTTCCTACTTAGCCCAAAAGACGTGAGTACTTTGCATTTCTTATGACTATTAATGCAGGCCCACAATATCATTATCATTCAACTCTGAGTCAGTTATCTCAAATTGAATGTTTTGTTCAAGTGTTTTTTTTTGTCTATTTGAAACAGAGATGAAAAGTTTATTCTTCGCTTCTACTTGAATGGGGTTTGATATTGAAATGTGAATGATATGATTAGAAGTGGAATAAAGCAAATTCTGAAACTGCCAAATTACACCATTAATAATATATAAACTTTTGACAAAAATTGTCCATGTATATTATGTACATTGTGCATATAGTAGTGGTAGTACATGTGCAGTGTAGTACTATAATTTTCAATTGCACTGTGATTCCTATCAGTTTTTCATCACAAGAAAATCTACAAAACATGTGTTTTCATATTAACATATGTTCAATCTTCATAGTATCTTGTGTTCCACCAGCTCATGGGAGCAACTTTATTGAAATTCTAATCATCCTTTTGATCGTGAAGGTCAACTTCATGGTAAATTGCATATTTTGAAAGCTTTACAGGAGAGCTAGATGAGGAATATACTTGAAAATCCTAATAGGATCATGTAGAAACACTGAAAAGCTTTCTAGCAACTATGATTCTATTATACTCAATTATCTGTTGTTCTGTGCCATAGGGTAAAAAGGTTTAATGATTGAGAATTACTTTCATCTTTGATTGTTTTACGATGTGCTATGAAAGTGGCCAGTGATATTCAGTTGACATATCAGCATTTTAACACATTTGGTCATTATAAAAATGCTGGATACTATCACAGAATGGGCAATGTAAGATGAAGGAGAAAGAGTTGATCTAAGTAATGAATTTATCAATGAAAGTACCAAAAATAGATAAAAAATACAGTCTATATGACTATATCACAGTCTTTTGTGACCATGTAAATTATACCTGTAGATAATGAACTTTGAGAAACAATGGGCCTTTTAACAATGATGAGTGGTACTGGAAAAATTTTGTTTGTGTTTTATATTTGTGGTAGACTACACGTATAGAGCACATTGTAATTTTAGCTGAGGGAACATATTTGCAAGCAGCGTTAGAATTAGTCAATTTTATGATTACATAACTGCTTGCATCAATTATCAAGCTCGCTCGTCACTACACCCTCACTCTCCACTTGGTGGCATAATCAATATCCTGCCCAACATGGTTTTAAACACATGGGACTGATTAATGAAAACACATGAGTCTGGCGACAGTTCTCTCATTTCCGCACATCGATTGTAGAGCAACTTCAAGCGTTGTCATGTGTGTCCTCTTCTCTTTTATCGTCTTCATTACCAAAACATATGTTTGGTTGGTTTGCATTCAGGTTTCTAAGTGGATCGAGTCTGTTGATGATGGTGGTGTTGGTATTTCATACTTAGGATTCCAAAGGTCCTTGGAACATATGTTGTTGAGTCGTGATAGTTTAGATTTGTTTGTCATTGTTTTAAAGGTAGAGTCACTGATATGCTCCAATAAGAATATTGATAGATTAAAAATTTGCCTAAATCTTGTTTATATACAGAAAAGTTCTTGATTCTTCTCTTACAATTTTAAGGCAGCAAATTCACAATTTTTTTTTTTTAAATAAGAAAATGAACAATCAAATCATGCCATATTTGAATTTATGAAAATTTACCAACAAATCATTGCTGAATTCTACCGTCATTAGCAATTGAAACTGAAAAAATTAACAGCTTAATCTCAGACTGTGTTTCAAAGTGCATGTACCTTCACGTTTACATACATGAAGGCTACAGGTAATAGTATAATGCTACTACATGTAGGAGGACTGTGCTAACGACCTGCCCTACATTATAAAAGTGCTAGCTCGACTTCAAACAATTCTGTAGGACGATTATGCCTGATTAATCATTAGGACTTATAATTACATCACATGACAAAAACCACATCAATAATTTATATGACAGACTTTGGAAACATGACTATGATGGTGATTAGAGAAAGGTCTATAGATGCTACATGTTTGAAATATAATGAGTGTTGAAAGCCAGAAGGGTATTAATTCTATGCAAGTTGATATTAGTTAAAGCCCCTCTGTACTAGTTTGGTCAGAAGGGATTAGACCTCCCTGCAAGGTCACTGACAGGTTGTTATCTCATCAAATAAGCTCTCAATTAACATCAGAAAAGGGGATCATGGGGGACCAATGGTCACCGATTAGGCATTGTAGAGGGCACAAGTAATTATAAGTAGTGCAGTGGGGCTTTAAAGCCCTTCTGGCTCTCAGCAGATCGATCGTGGTAAGCTCTCTTGTGGTAGAGCCGATGATGTTCATGTGAGCGGTATGTTCTGTGGTTTATTTGCGGATAAGAGGAGCTTTAGGCGATGGGTTTCATTCAATATTTACATAAATTCTGTAAGTCAAATAAAATGTAGATGTGCACTTTGTTCATTATGAGCTTTGTTTGTACTGCTAGAACCATCTCATTGCCTTCACTTCTAATCATCATTATCAACACAAGTATACTGTCTACAGAAACCCAAAAGGGCATTAACTTGTATACTTTTATACAGTGTTAACATCTTTCTGGCTCTGAACACACATATATTTCTGACACAGCAATTTCATGTTTAACATTCTTTATCATTGTGACTGTGTCCTTCCCTATTTATAGTTTGAAAAGGACCTTTAAAATTTCAATTCAGTATTCCCAGCCTTGTTCATGTCTTGCATGATTGCCTATCCTTGAATATGAAGTATCATTATGAATAATCCTCATCAGACCATGTCAGCACTTGTCTCTGTTTGCTTATTAATATAAAACCTCAAACGAACTGGAGATTCCACTTTAAATAAATATTGATATACATGATTGAAGTATCAAACATGAAAAGGAATATAATTTAATGCATTGTCTTTTGTTTGCCAAGCACTGAAGTTCAAGTAGTTTTATAGTTTCTCCTCAATATTTCACCTTTGTATGGTACTAAGGAGCAGTAAAACCAAATTAAACGCAGATATATGTCTATTTCCACTGAATCCTCTTTTAAGATAATGTGTGGATAGACGGGTGAATCACTAGATTTCTGTTGAATAATACACCATTAAAAAAACTTTGAACAAAATATTTGTTTTTCCATGTAAATGTAGTTGTGTTCATGGAGGGTAACTGGATGTAAAGAAACTACAATAAATTTCATGAAAAAGTGATCGCATGAATTCTTTTGTCTTGCACCTTTGCGATCTGCATCATTTAATTGGTCTAAAGTCTTTGAATAATGGTCGTGGGAGGAGAATGCTTTATCACACGATCATGGTGCATGATGATTGCTTTATTTGCTTCACTTGTTATTCATGGTACTATGACTAGGTAAATTTGATGGTCGTCTTTGTATGAGATTACTTGCTATCAGACATTGAGATGTAAGCAGACATACATTAATTCCCATTATAGAGTAATGATGGCTTCCAAAAGAAGGATTTGTTAACCATAATTGTAGAGCCCGTTATAAAGTCTGTCAAATATTGTATAATTCCATCTATATTAGCCATACACAGCATCAATATTTACATGTGCAGCATACATAAATCTCCTCTGCTTTGACTGAATAATGATGGTAGCAAATTTGTTTCAGGAGTTTGCTAATATATACATGTACAGAGCGACAAATCATCACTGTTTTTAAAGACACACCATCCCAGCATGCTCCAGCGCTGATAATATGTTTCCAATCCATTCGTAATTAGCTTTTCTGGGCGCTTCTTGCCGAAGGTGTCACTTGGCGCTTTTGTAGGTCTGTTGGAGCCAGGACAGACACGCAGCTAAGAGAGCATACGAAGCGTGACAAGGGATGTTGGTGATGATGTATGCAGTGAAGATTGGGAGTGACATTTATTTAATCCTGATGGCTTCATGCACATAAATTTAACTCAGGAACATGTTAGGAATTAGGATTATTCCCGCTTTATTCATGTATGGACACACTAAGTGAGATAAGCTTAGGTTTTAAAAATTCCATGATGTCAAGTATTCTGGATATTACAGATTCAAAATGTTTCAAGAATTTAGTGGACTGAGAAGAGATTTTCATTAGTTTGACAGGAGCTAAGCATTTGATTTGGATTTTGTAAGAAATCCAAGACTTGTTCTACATCTACAGTAGAAAGTGATCATGAATGTAATAACCTAGATAAATTTTAATTTGATATGAAGTGAGAGCGATCTATCCAGTAAAAAGAAAGATCTGGACAGATTTTGTAAGCAATCTGAGAGTTGTTCTACATCTTCAGTAGAAAGTGAATGTGAATGTAATAACCTAGATAAACTTCAATTTGATTTGTAGGAAGATAATGTTATTCCAGTATTAAGAAAGATCTGTACAGTATATTCTGTGTCTTCTTCCTCTTGTGGGGGTGGGAGGGAAGGGAGGGGGGGTGCAGTAGTAGTATTATCTAATATCAGATGTACATGTAGAAAGTTGTTTTACATCTTATGAAGTCAGCATCAAGCAGAACATCAAATTTTCAACTCACAGCTTACATGGAGAATCAAAATCAATTTTTATTTTCAGTTATTGCAGAAATGAAATTCCTTGAAGTCAGGTTTTATTTAATCCCTTAGGCAATGTGTAGAAAGTCACATCTTTAAGTGAGGCTGATTATACTTGTATTTAATTTAAACATGTATATAACTTGATTATACATGTAATACAAACCAAAATTGGTAGATACTGTAGGCAGTCGCAATGTGATGTAGCATCTCGTTGAATAGTGGTCATACGAACGTCCATGTACACCTAGTACAGCTACTGTTATGGAATGAAAGCCTTGACCATGGGGAGAGCTTCTGTCCATCCATTATTTATCTCCATCCTTCATCATCACCGCCCAGCACAGCCCAGCACAGCCTACCATAAATATTTAGATTCCCTGTGAGGCCCGCTTTAAGCAAATGAATTACATGCATTCGTGAGTTTGATTCCCTGTTGAATCCAAGAGCTTTCATGAGAATTATAGAT